ACGTGTAAGTTATTCCTCCTGATAGTGTCCCACATAACTCTTAGGCTTTCTTCATTTTTCTTCATTCTTTGTTTTGACAATTCTTCAAACAGATTAGTGTCAAGGGATTTGTCTGCTATTCTGCTGATCCTGTCTTCTATTGTTTCGATTCTAGTCCTATGACTTTCCATTGAGTTGTCTATTTCTGCAATTTTATTGTTAAGCTTCTTGATTGCTAGTTGCTGTTTTTGTATGGTTTCCAATTATCTGTTTTGTCATTTTGTTCTTGTATTGTTTTCCTGAATTCTTCTAGTGTTTTTCTGTGCTTTCCTTGTTTTTTTTTTCTGTGTTTTCCATAGATTTGTCTGTTTTCCTTGATTTCTTTGAGGATTCTATACATAAGTCTTTTAAATTCTTTATCAGGAAGCTCCATTACATTTTCTTCCTCAAAGAGGTTTTCTGATTCTTTATTTTAGTCACTTGGTGGGGCCATTTTGTCTGCTTCTTTAGGTACTTTGCTATTGTCTGTTGTCTCTCGGACATTAGGGGCTTTTGGATTTATTTTTTAATTGTATAATTGTTTGCTGGGTCCTGTTTTTTTGTTTCATTTTGTTTTGATGATTCCTGGCAAGCATGGCTGGCATGGTGCTCTGGTTGCTGAACCGGCTATGCTGGAGCACTCCCTGTCTCTGAGCAAGTGGAGCAGCAGGTAGGTGTGGGAGCTTGAGTCTCTGGTTACTGGTCTGGCAGAGCAGCTGAGGGTGGGGTGGTTGGGCTTTGGCCTCTATCTGTCTTTGGTTTGGAGAATAATGCTCTCCATACAGGTAGAGTGGCTGGTGTGGTGGGCGAGTGGGGGCGTAGTCATCACCTCTCACCAGTTGGGGCGGTATAGATGGTGGGGAGTTACTCTGCCTCTGCTTCCTCCAGGGCGGGGGGATGGAGGAAGGAATGGCAGATGATGCTTGCTTAGTTTCGCCGAATCTGCCTATCAGTGTCCAGGGAGAGGGAGAAGGGTGCAGTGGGTGGATGCGCACACACTAGCTCTGCTTCCACCTTGTGCTTGGCAGGGAGAGGGAGGAGAGGGCCTCAGGGGGTATACATGTGCAGTCGTGGCTCCTCTGTGCCTTACTGGGCAAGTTAATGGACAGAATTGCTCTTGGCAGGTGCACACACAGTGGTATTGCCTCCGCCTTGTGCTGGGTTGGGGAGGGAGAAAGGGGCCATGAGGGTATGCATCCTCAGTAGCAGCTCCTTCATCTTCCACTGGGTGAGTTAAGGGAGGGAGTCATGCCTGGCAGATGTGAGCACAGTGGCACTGCCTCTGACTTGCACTGGGCGGAAGGAGGGAGAATGGGGCAGCAGAGGAGTACGTGTACAGTCATGTCTTCTCCACCCCGTGCTGGGTAGGGGGAAGTAGGGAGCAGTGGGTGGGCTCTTTCGCTGTCTCACCTCCTCTGCCCTCACTGGGCCCTTGGGAGGTTTAGGTGATGGGCAAGCATACACATAGGTGCATGCCTAGTCTTGCTCGTTGAGTGGACAAGGAGGGTAGTGGATGGGGTTGGGTGGGATGGGGGGGAGAGGAGAAGATTGTGTTTTGGTCCCCTAGTCAGGCAAGGTGGTTGGGTTACAGGACCTTTTGCTACCTCTGATCAGAAGGATGGGGTGAGGAGTATGTTCCTCCGGCTAGGATATGTGGGTGTCGAGGCACCTTGCGTCTGCTGCAGCCAGCAAATGGGACCTATCCCAGTTCCAGTGCGAGGAGGAGGCCCGCCTAGGGACTGGCTGGGTGGGAGACCTCCTGACAACACTCCGTGGGCCCGCCGCCTAGTGCACACCACTTACTCCTGAGCTTAGGGGCCGCCGCTCCTGAGTATCTCCAGTTCTGGATCCTGGCTCCCTCCCTCCCTCTGCTTCTTTCTGTGTGTGTCTGTAGAGTTTCTCTGTCCCTTTTGGGAAAGTTGTGAAGTTGCCTTGCTGATTTCTTCACCCGAGGCCTCTGCTGGCTTTGTCCTAAGATGGCCAAGTTGGGCTGGGACGGCTGGCTGAGCTCCTCTGATCTGTGTTACTTTTCTTTTGCTGTGTTCACGCACTTTTTCCTTCCAATCAGTGTTTGGTTCGGTTCTTAGACTTTCTTTTTTGATGTTCAGTGTTCCTGGATTGTTATCTGTTTCTGTTTTGTTTGGTTTTTTTGAGCCTTTGTTACAAGAGGACGTTATGATGCATGTGACTAAGCCACTATCTTGGCTCTACCTCCTATCAGTGGATTTTGATTGCATGTTTGATCAATTTCAAACTGCAGAAGTTGGTAACAATCTTCAGTTTCTTCATCTTTGGCACTAATGGTTCGTTCGTAAATTTGAATAATAGTTACATTAATTGGTCTTCCACATTTGTTATGTTGTTGTTAGGTGCCATCGAGTTGATTCCGAGTCATAGCGACCCTATGTACAACAGAATGAAACACCGCCTGGTCCTGCACCATTCTCACAATCACTGTTATGCTTGAACCCATTGTTGCAGCCACTGTGTCAGTCCATCTTGTTGAGCGTCTTCCTCTTTTTCACTGACCTTCTATTTTACCAAGCGTGGTGTCCTTCTCCAAGGACTATTCCCTCTGATAACATGTCCAAAGTAGTGAAACATTAGAGGACAGAGGAGTCCCTGAGACTATCACCCTGTGACACTCATTAAACCTAGAACTGAGCCTATCTCCTGAGACCGCCTTTTAGCAAAACAGCAGAGTGGCACACAAAATAAAGGATATTACCTGTAAGATAGGTTCCCTACTTAAAAACCACCAGTATGAGACAGTGCAGTGTTTCGTTCTGTTGTACATAAGGTCACTATGAGTCAGAATCAACTTGACGGCACCTAACAACAGTAACGCAAATATGAGACCAAAATGTCAACAATTGCTCAAAAGCAAAGATGAGAAGATAAGGGGTCAGGGAAACTAGAGTAACGGAAAGGGAACAAACTGAGCACAATTAAAGAGAATGTGGACACATTGCGATAAATTTAACTAATGTTACTGAACAATTTGTGTGGTAATTATCAAATGGGAATCTAACTTGCTGTGTAAACTTTCACCAAAAACTCAATAAAATATTATTTTAAAAAAAGAGTAGACTTGGGAAGACTAGTTAGGAGTTAAAGTGAGAAATGATGGTAATTTGGTCTTAGGTAAGAATATTGGAGTTGAAAAAAGCATATTTGAGAAATGTTTAGGAAACTTAGAATTGGTGGATGTATTAGCTCTAGTGGGTGCTGGAGAGGTGAAGTCAAAGATAACACCCAAGTTTCTAGATCATTATGATGTCACCAAGATGGGAACCCTGAAGTGATGATTAGGTACTCAATTTGGACATGTTGAGGTTGAGGCATTGCTGACTTATCCAAGAGAAGTCAAGCAGGTGGTCAGATATATATGTCTGCAGCAAAGATAAGAAGTCCGGTCTGGAGAAGATACTTTAGCAGCCACAGGTGTTCGGATGTTAATTGAAGCCACGGATGGAATGAGATAGCCTTAGGAGAGAGCAGGGGGTGAGAAGAGTAGAGGTCTAGGACCCAGATTTGAGGAATTTCAACATTTACAGCTCTGGTGGAGGAGGATGAGTTGGCAAAGGAAATAGAAAAGGAATATCCAGAGTGGTCAGGGAAATATGAGGAGCTGGAAACCAAGGAAAGAAGCGTTTTAGAAAGGAAACAGTGGTCCACAGTATTGCTTTGCTGTTGATATAGCTGAGAAGCAAAATGTGGAAACCAAGTATCCTTATTATTTACCAATGCACATGGCAGTGAGTTGGCTGCTGGTTTCTCTCCATTGCTATTACTCTTATAGTTAGGAAGCTTGTTTCTGGTGACATTTCTACTGGGAATGAGTCTTCTCCATCCTTTTGTTTTCTGCTTCAGAGCCACATGCCATGGTAGTAGCAGTAAGTCATCAATATGGGCATGAGAATAATATAGTTAGGAACTATTGACAATTAAATAACTATAGATTTATTGAGTAGATGTACTCAGATAACCTCAGTTAAACTCGTAAAGATGATTTAAAATGGTTTCCTTATTCAGTCTAGGTGTACTTATTCTCTTTACTTTTAACTTATTACTCTTTTGCCTGTATTTCTAGGAAGTTTACATTCTCTCTTTTCCCTGATTCCAAGTTTATTACTTAAGCAGTTCAAGACAAGAAGATTGTCTTTTTTTTATTTTTTTTTATTTTACTTCATTCTTAATTCACACTTTTTCCTTAACTGCATTGTAATAGAAAGAACGTAAGGTTGGGAGCTAAATAGTCAGAGTTTATATTCCATCTTTGTTCTTAATTAATCATGTGCTATTAGGGAATCTCTTAGAGAACTTTTCATCATACTGAGCTTGAGGTGCCAGTAGGCGATCTCAGTGGAAATGTCAATTGCAGAGAGAGCTTTCCTTTGCTCAGGAGCTTTTTATATGCTACCCGATGAAGGTGTTGATCTGGGACCTCGAGGTGGAGGTAAGAAGAAGCACCTGCCTAAAGTGCAGAATGCAGAGAAAGTTAACAACTGACAGGTACCTTTGGCACCCTTGGCTACCTGAGGTCCACCAGTGTGGTAAGATATTTAGTTCTGAGGACACCAGGGAGTGCCTGTAAGTCTAGACTTCCTTCATTTCTGCCACATTCTGCCTAACGGTTTCTCTTTGTAAGGCAGGTGATCTGATAAATCAATCCATGGTAAGGTATTATTGGGAGCCTCATTAGTAACTTTGCTTGCGATTTAACAGGGTTTTCTCAGACACAAAGAGATAGCCCAAATGAATGACTCTAATGGAAAGAACTTTGAACATCCCCATAGGGCAGTGGAGGAGAATTGGAACTTCTTCCCACCACCTTTCTATCTTTCTCAGTCACTGTCAAGTGTATATATGATTTCAAAAGTATTGAATGATTAGAAAAACAGTGAAGCTTGATTTTTGTCTCATGAATTGATCTTCAATGCGTGATATGTGTTTATTATTTTTTCTTATGTTTTACTTAGCAACTTACCAACCACATTCGAGATACCCTGCCAAACTTCAGGAACAAACTACAGGGACAGTTGCTGTCGATAGAACATGAAGTAGAAGCCTACAAAAACTTCAAACCAGAAGACCCCACCAGGAAGACCAAAGCATTACTGCAGTGAGTCACCCTTCCCTTCCTCAGGATTTTTAACTAAATTCTACAGTTTATTTTTTCTTTAATTGAAGCCATGGATGGAATGAGATAGCCTTAGGAGAGAGCAGAGGGTGAGAAGAGTAGAGGCCTAGGACCCAGGCTGTTTGCCATGTTATTTTTCTAGGCTTTACAGAAGAAGCAAGAAAAGTATATGAGGCTCTGTATATGTTGTACTGTAACTCTTCAAACTTTGTTTTCTTGAAGAATATTTGTTGATCTTACTCTCTTATTGTAAATTTAACCACTTGCCCACCCCATGCCCAATTTCATTGTGTTTTAAAAATTGGATTCAGTAAGTGAATAAAGCCAGTAGTGATAATTCAACAGATATTTTTTGGTCCTTAGTCTTCAGAAGTGGGCATATTTCCTGTTGGAAATGTCATCTGTGTTTTACAACTGTTTCTATTAATATCACTTGTACTTATTATCTTTTTATTTCAATTTTTTCGTGTGGTTTATTTATTTATTTTATATATATTTTTATTGTACTTTAGACGAAGGTTTACTGAACAAATAGTTTCTCATTACACATATTGTTTTATGACATTGGTTAACAACCCCATGACATGTCAACACTCTTCCTTCTCGACCTGGGAGGACCCTTTTTTTTTGGGGGGAAAATATACATAGCCAAAGTTACACCATTTCAAAAGTTTCTGCATGTACAATTTAGTGACATTGATTACATCCTTCCAGTAGTGCTGCTGTTCTCACTATCCTTTTCCAAATTATTCCATCACCATTCTCTTCAACTCACTGTCCCCTAGGCTTCCCATCAAACCTTTTGAGTTGCTGTTGTCAATTCGATCTCGCATAGATAATTCTTTTTTTTTTTTGGACCTTAGATGAAGGTTTGCAGAACAAATAGTTTCTCATTAAACAGTTAGTATGCAT